ACCTCGCACACACCCTCCCCTATACCCCTGACCCACCCACCCACCACCCTAGCCCCCGCTCTCACCTACATTCATCTTCAGAAATGTTTATGACAAATCTAGAACATCATACTTTAAAACTCCGACTTCTAGACACAGATTTGTAATCACTGTCCAAACAGGCCCTTAAAAATTCCATTTTCCAAAAAAATGAAAATGTATACTCCCTCCACCCCATATATTTTCTAGCAGTTTGACATCACAGAGTTTGAGAAAGTTGATGAAAAGTAAACCATGTAAAGTTAGAATTTGTTTAGAGGAGAGAATTGTTGGTAGCCACACATTCATTACCAAAATAAGGAATAAAGTGTGTAAAGTTTTTATAGGAAATTTAGAAAAAGGAAAATGTAAAGAATTTTATGGGACAAAGGGAGTAAGTGATTGTTTAGTGTAAGCTGTCTCATCTAGTTAAACTTTCCCTGCACGAGAGGGATGTATTTGTAAGCCTAAGACCTCAAATCAATATTGAAGAAAACTTTTCTCATTTCAAAATGTTTTTATTCATACATAGTATATACAGCAATAACATGGCTTTTATCAATCCCAACTCCAAACCTAGAAAATAATGTCACAGGTTCACAAAACAAGCAAAGCAAAAAAGGATAAATACAAAAGAAAAGGTAATAGATGACAAATCAATGGATGATGAACAACTTAAGGTGGAAAGCCAACAAACTTGATTTTCCAAGCGTATGTTTATAGCCTGAATTTTTGATATGCTGCCTTCAGCCCCATCCTGGACAATAGCTTCGATCTAAAGAGGGCCATAAAATTGAATGAGGTCAGAATAAAGAGCCATCAAATATGCCGTCCAGCCTCTCCAAAGAACCTATCATATGACTAATGCTAACGAGCCTGAAATATGGAAAATGGAGGAAAAGAGCATTGAAGAGAATAGCACAGTTGGGCAAAAATACCATGGCCTTATAGAAAGCAATCTGAGGAACAGAATATTTAGTCCCAAGCTTTGACTGGTCATCAGAAACATTATTCACAACTCCATAATATACACTACCATCATACTGGTTTTTGCAGGCCCTCAGCTCAAACTGGACGTATGCCAGTTCTGCATTTATCTTCCTTAGAAACTCATTAAATAGCTGCTGATGTGCAGCTGAAATACACAAAGAAAAAAACAAGGAATCACAATCGACAATCAAACTCAATTCCAATTATCATATTGAACATATTCCGAAATTAACAGCATTTAGGACTGGATGGAAACAATATTTCATTACAAATCCAGTAAAAGTTTGCACCTTTTTTACCAGAACATTGAAAAATGAAGAGGGGGGGGGGGGGAACCTGGAGATTTTTCTGTGACGACATGGAAGATGGATTTGAAATCGGCTTCCGGGAGAGGGCCGCGGGACAGCAGGGCTTGGATGAGGGTGTGGTGTCGCCAGCTCAGCGCCGGCATTTTGATCGGAGAGATAGAAAGCTAAGGAGCGAGGAAAGATGATGTGAGGAAAAATGGAGGGAAAGTGCTTCATGAATCCAAAACCCTAGATTTTTTTGGGCGGGAACACGAAGAGGGGGCAATATCTAGACGAAGACGAACGGAAAATGGTCTGTTTTTCATTTTTTTTCTTCAATAATTTTGAAATGTGGTTTTAAAATATTACTCCGTATATTTTTATAATAAAAAATTTAAATGGGACAAAAGGAGTAATAAATTTTGTCCTTAACTTTTTTCTTCCATTTTCTTTTAACCAAACATAAAAAAATGTTTTCTTTCTCATTATTAATTTTTTCTTTTCAAATTTCTTGAACCGAATATTGTGTACAACAACAACAAAGTATTATCCTAATGGGAGGAGCCAACTACATGGATCACACCAGGGTCGGCCCCGAAAAATGAAAAAATAAAATTGGCCTGGTCCAAAATTTATATTTTGGGCCCTATATTATTTTTTTAGCATACTTTTGCTTTAAAATTATTAACAAATTTAAAAATATAGGATCCTAAAATTTTAGGGACCATGTGCGGTTGGCTACTTAAACACCCTCCGGGCCACCCATGGATCACACGACGCCATTGTGTAAATGAACTAAACAATATTTTTTGTTTTCTTAATTTATTTTTGTCTCATTTTTTTTTCATTTTTCTTTTCTTTTCTTTTCTTACGTAACCAAACATGAAAACTTATTCTTTATTTAACCTAACCTAGTAATAATTGAGCAAGAATGGCTCATACCCTTGTTATTTTAGGGTCATGCTAATGGTACATCAAAATGGTGTATCTCATTTGTACACCAAACAAATATAGATACTAAGTGTCTGTGATCAAATTGGATACAGTTCAATTTGGACGGAAAAATTGGATACTAATAAATATAGCAGTTCAAAATCATCACAAACACTAAATGTCTATGTTTGTCTGGTACACAAATTGGATACACTATTTTGGTGTATCCCTAGAATTATTCATTATTTTATTATGGATAGGGGTAAGGAAAGAAAGATTGAGATGGAAAAAGGGGAGATTATATGAAACAACTTCAACTTTCAGAATTTTTCAAGCTATAACACTTCAACCCGCGTAATCTAAAAATATGAACTAACGAACCGAATTGTTATTAGATTAGTACACAAACATATTAATTTCCAAAACATTAAAATAGTTAAATCCAAAAAATATTTCAAATAAATCAGAGTGCACAAAATGATTGCATAAGCTTAAGTTACTCCATCCGTCCCGGAGTATTCGTCCAGTTTTGACTTTTGGAACTGTTCATCTAAGCACTTTGACTCATCAAATTCTCTCAATGTGTAAGCTTAAATATAGTCATGTGTGATCTTATTTGATTTGTCTTAACATATAGATTATTAATATATAATTTCTATAATTTTTTAATATGCAAATTACAAGATAAAATGGATTAAAGAAGTGTATTGGATGGTGTGTAAAAATGAAAGTGGACAAATACTCTGGACGGAGGTAGTATTAATTAAAAACACAACTTGTGACCTTGCCCAAAAATGTAATAAGTCATTTACTAATAAATAGCAGTTCAAAATCATCAAAGAGACATTTGTACATCTCCTCACCCTCATTGCCCTACGGGATTGGGACTGGATTCATCTTATACCTGATTAGCTGCATGCAGTAAACAAACTCATTACACTCTCAGCGATAAAGACGAGTGAGAAATATGTAACATTTGAACGTACACATAAGCGAAGTAGCAAACCCATTAGTTCACAAGCATTACATGACATCATGGACATAAGTTCAACATTAGTATCATCACATAACAATCCACAATACTCCTTCCGTCCAACAATTTCTTTCTTGTTTTGACTTGACACGGAGATTAAAAAAAGTTAAATAGTGTAAAGATTTTTCATGTTTATCCTTGATGTGATGAAATAAAGTGAATAGTGTAGATAAAAAAGTAGGGGTATAAGGGTACATCCATTAAGCTTTTGTTGCCAAAAAAGGAAACTAGAAAGAAATTTTTGGATAATTCAAAAAGGAAAGTAAGAAAGAAATGAATAGACAAAGTAAGTAATAAACAATAAGTTCATATAACTAGTTCTATACAACTTATTACTTAACTTATGTGCCCATAATCTATTCTAAGCTAAGATCACTTCACAACTTATTCTAAGAGTCATAATTCTTCCCAGTCGATTAGCGTGTCATGCTTAACCAATGAAGGAGTTCTCTATAGGCTGGGTGAAACCCCGATTTAATGGATCATCGGTTTTTTTTGTGGGGTGTGCCGGGCCGAGGGAGTAGTGCAAGCCCAAGGCGACACGCGAAAGCCCAAGTAGCAAGCTGCTTTGATGGGCCTTCCCCCTTAAAAAATTGAGTTAATATCGTGTGGGCCGATGGCCCACATATCAGATATTAAACTGATAAGAACATATACTACACTTGATCTTAGCCAAAAGGCCGAGAAAGGTATAATGGATCATCAGGTTGTTCGCATATTTTCGTACATATGCTTTTACTCGAATAGTCATTGTCCCCAGCAAATAGCATCTGGCTCCAAACCTCTTAACACTCTTGTTACTATTAATTCAGGTCATTTTTAGAGTTTTTCTAGATAGATTAAACCAATTACATCATTTCTTATTCCAATCAACATAATTCACAGTGTTGGATCAGTACTGTTACATGGTAGTGGGGTACCGACCAGTACCTCACTTGATAGAGAGTTTTGGCCTGTGAGCTTGTAACTCACTATCACCTGTTGGTACTTGGCTACTGCCTGACGTCGTAAATTCCAATTTTGAACTCGGTCGGGAAGCAAGGTTTTCCGATCTCAAATTCAATGTCACACATATTCATCTTCATACCAAATCAATGTACAAAATCAACATATCCAACGATCAATTAACGCCTAATCATGCATTCTACCATTTTGATTCACATAGATCAATCATGACAGTAATTACGAACATTTCAAACCTAGATGCATATTCTAGCATTCTTAATAGACTAAGCAATAGTCTAATCGAGTTTTGCCTTAACTCGAGTGCTAGGAGGATCACCCCAAGGATTCTAGATTAGAAATTTCACCCAAGTTCAAACTCCAGTAGGAGCATTGACTCTAAGCGCTTAAATAGGTTAAAAAAATACTCCCTCCATCCCGCTATATTCGTCCACTTTTGACTTTTGAAATTGTTCATCTAAGCACTTTGACCTATCAAATTCTCTCAATGTGTAAGCCTAAATATAGTCATGTGTGATCTTGTTTGATTTGTCTTAGCATATAGATTATTAATATATAATTTCTATAATTTTTTAATATACAAATTACAAGATAAAATGAATTAAAGAAGTGTATTAGATGGTGTGTAAAAATGAAAATGGACAAATACTCTGGGACGGAGGTAGTAATCCATATAAAGTGAATAGTACTAAAAAACGCATAAAATTTCTAGAGAGAAGAGACAAAACAACATAAACTGTAAAATTCTTTCACTAAAACTAAGTGCAGAGAATTTAGCCAATATAAACTCTTTTTTGGTGCATAATAAGAGATAAGGAGATTAAAATAGGCTGAAATATGTAGCTCTCAAATTTAAAAGTGAAATTTGTACTAAATAGGACTAAAACATAATGACTTTCCTAATGTAGGACTTAAACTTTTTTATTCCATAAATAGAACTTAATAATGACCTAGTGGAAGGAATAATGTCCAGCAATGATGCACATTTAGTTGAATAATGACTTCGTGATAATGACCAAAGGTCCTACATTGGGAAATAAAAACATATGGTCTTATATTAGGAAAGTCATTATGTTTTAGTCCTATTTAGGTAAATTTCTCAATTTAAAATGTTAAGACCTTATGCAAGTGTACCACTCTGGGCTGGCAGACCCTCTTTTGCCCACAGTGGGAATTGAAAGTCTGAGGTAAATTTGAGAGAGTGCCCCAATTCAGGGGCAGGCAGGCCATAAAAGTTGAATGCCCTTTGGATAACTAAGACTCCAATTTAACATGCCCAGAAGCCGGAGCACGGGAGTGAGTTGTAGTTGCAGGAGCTATTGTCTGTAAATAAATGCCAATGCTTGCAACGCGGCCATTCTTAACGGTTCCATGAAACCCATTTATCCAATCTGCTTGGCTGCCTAACCTGAACTTGAAGAAGAGAGGTCCAGTGGAGTTTGGCTTTGGTTGTACTTGTAGCCCAAAGGGTCCGTATGTAGCCTTGTTCGTCACAAATGTTATGGACGACACGTTCTGTGCAAGATTGTCATGCCACACATTATAAGAGCCATGAACCATTGTGAGGGACTCTGTCGGATAGTCTAGTTTTATCTGCATTTGTATCGTATTTATCCAGAAGATATACACATGTTAGGCATGTCGGGATTTTAAACGCATCCGACTCCGAAAACAAATGTTTCCACCATTTCAGTACAATAAATAGAAAAGGCCTCCCCTTTCTACACACACCACTCACCTCACAATACTTTTGTTTTCATCCTTTTCATTTCTTTTTATCTTTCTATTCATTTTGATTATTTTAATCGATCGCAACAAAGCATTGGATTAAAATATTAAAATAACAACACACCAAGACACATTTCCCGACAAATTTACACAAACACTTATCGGTGAAACGTCGCCCCCTCATGTATATTACTCCTTACTATATACCCGCCTCCCACCATCTATAACTTTTCATCATGGTGTGGTACAACGTAATACTCCCTCCGTCCCATAAGATTACTATATGGAAAGTAATGAAAGTAAATCAAACGAAACATATATAGAGGTACTGACCATTTCTGTGTTGTCGCGGAGTTTGCCATGTTCTTCTGAAAACTGGAATGCGCCGTCCTTGAAATAGAGGAAGCGAAGAGAGTTAATGGTAGATGAAGAATAAGAAACGAGGATTCCAGCTACTTGGCCAAGACCACCATCATCCCATGCCTCTACACCATAAGCCACTTGCGGTTTCATTAAATCGATTTTCAGCATTGTTTATTAACTTCCTCGTCAACACTCTACTGATTCCTTGATCTGATCTGCATGCCCAATGTTCTAACTGTAATGTTTTCCAGTTTTAAAATGCGGTAGATTCTCCATCACAGTTGTAACAAATAGTTTTGGTACCAATCAGTTTTGCACATAATGACATTATTATTGCTGAAGATCGATTCAAACTCAACCTTTCCTCTTTCATTTTCAAAAGTTTCAGATTGAGTAATTAATCATTAATTGTTCTAATGGTTGGCGTAGATTCGTTCAAACACAGTTTGGAATTCAGTTTTGAAAATCTCAGTAGGTTTTTATAATATCTTTGGATTATGAATCACAATGAGTGTCCGTTTGATAACCGGAATTGATGGAATTGGAATTGTATTGGGAGTTGAAATTATATGGAATTGATATAGGTGGAATTGAATTTTCCAATTCTAATTCATTTTTGGCACTACCAGGTCCAAATCCACATATTTTTGTGCTACTAAACAGTAGAATTGGAATTATTGTCTCCAATTTTAATTCCAAAAATTGAATTCTGTGTACAAAAGAGAGCCTAAATCAACTAAATAACACTCACAGCGACCCTACTTTTGATAAACATACTCACATAATCTGAACAAAACTAAAATACTCAAATAATTGGAAACAACTGAATCCTTGAAATTTGATTAACAAGTTCACATTTCACGGGGAAATAGATAATCATCCAATAAGCTGAAATCAAAAAGTTGAAATAAATAATCATCCAATTACTCACTTGGAGAAAACGAAGAATGAATCTGTTAGGTCGGATCTTCGGTGAGTTTGGGACGACTGCCGACTGGACCTGTGTCAGGGCGACGACGGGCGACCGTGTTGGGAATTAAAATACACAACAATTTTTTATGACATGGTCTTTGTAGGAAAAAAATAACTTGTTTCTTACAACTTCTTCCAGTTTTTTCATTTAAAAAATATATTTATATATGATAAATATACAATAATATTATATATCAAAATTTATAATATATCATATGAAACACACGCAAGGATTAATTCTTTTTTAATTGAAAATTTGAGTTTTCTTACATATTTCTTTGGTGATCATTTAATTTAGTGACATTTTAACACTTTAATTTTTCCAACATTTTTCAACTCTTTTCAATTTTTTCCAACTACTCCCCGTTCCTCCCAACATCCAACTATAAAAATGCTAATCCAAAAAATAGGTCTCTAGTGGTTTGGTTTCTCTAATACAACCGAAGGAATTTTATCTCAAAAAGTTAAAAGTATAAGATGTGTACATATATAGAAATCTTAAATTTCTAAAATGGTCATTTATAATAAGGCATTTTCTCTATTGAGTGTTCAATAATTTTTAATTACTTACGCGGGCATTTATAATTGATATTTAATCCTTAAATAGTTATTCGTAAATAATACTCCGGAGTATTACTCAGATGATGATTAATTAAAAAATATTTTGGCATTTCGATCATTTAAAATTTAAAGTATATTTCAAAATGGTCATTTCTATACAATTAAATGTAAAATTAAAACGATACATTGACTATACATAATCCATGAATTATTAAAAACTATAAAAAAAATCTTTTAAAATTCAAATCAAATACACATCTTTAATTAGAAAAAATAATTTGGGAAAGCAATTAATTAGAAATGATCATTTTAAAAACTTATTCTAAAACTATAAAAAATACCAAAATATTTCTTAATTAATCATTATTTAAGTAACATTATTTACAAAAGACTACCTAGAGAATAACATTCAAATAGGGAGACCGTGTAGGTAATTAGAACTTATTGACGACTAATTTGAAAAAAATCTTTAATAGACTGGACCATTTTAAGAATTTATTCTTTTAACATTATATATCTTCATTCCCCAAATAGAATTATATGTATTTATATGATGAAAAAAATAATAAATTAAAAGATTGCCAAAATAGGAATGGAAGGAGTACGCTTTAAATAAAGAGTAATGCTAGGATCACAAATAAACTTCACAAATTTACTTTTTTAAGGTTTCCTAGAAATAAGATGCAGTTAAATAATAAAAGATATTTTAATTTAAATAACTCAAAAAATTCATAAACTTCCCTTTTTAACACAAATCACGAAATCTCTATTGCTCCCTCCATTCCAAAATGTTTGCTACATTTTCTTTTTCAGCAGTCATAGAAACTTTTATTTATTTATACATTGTGATTGATTATTTGATAAAATAAAATATCTTTGACACCTGTTATTTCAAAAAAAATCATATAGTTTTTAAATATCTAAATTTTATTTTTTTTATTTTTATACTAATACTTAAATAAAATGAATTGAAAAAAATTAATATTTTGTTTTTTTAAACAAGTAAACATTTAGCCTTTGTTTGGATTGGAAGAGAAAATGAAAGGAAAGAAAATAAAGAGAAGAGAAAATGAAGAGAAAAGTGAAAGAAAATATTTGTTGTTTGGATGTGTAGAAAATGAGAGGAAAAGTGGGAGAAAGGAAAATACAATAAAATGAAAAAGACAACTTTGGACTGTGAAGAATAGAGGGGGCACCAATTATTGATTAGGGTTAAAGGGCAAATGTGTAATTCAATTAATTTTCTCTCCATTGTGGAGTTTTCTCGCCTAGGAGGGGAAGAAAATTTTTCATCTTCCCTCCCCACTTTTTTTCTTTCCTCCCTCAATTTTCTATTGCAACCAAACAAGAGAAAATGGATCGTAAATTGTGTTTTCTCTCCATCTCTTTTCTTTCCTTCCCACTTCTCTCCATCCAAACGGAGGGTTAGGGACAGAGGTGTAAAAGAATACGTTCAAAATTACCCTATTTTGGAAAAAAAGGATTATGTTAATTCTGCCCCTTTGTCTTCCATCTCAGGTTTTGCTCGTTTGGCGTCTATGGGAAATGCCAGTAATTGATGAAGTCCTTCTGTATAGGACATCTTAATTCTGGGACTATTCCAATCACTCTTGGAGTTACAGAAATTGTGCTTATCCCCAAAAAATCACAACCAGAAGATATGAGTGATCTCCGACGTATAGCTCTCTGTAGAGTGCTTTATAAAATTATTAGTAAAATGATGGCTTCTAGACTGAAAACCATCCTTCCAAAAATCATTTCGCCAACCCAAAGTGGTTTTGTAGCAGGTCGGGACATTCACGATTGTTGTGCCATTGCCTTTGAGACGCTGCACCACATAAGGAATAAGAGAAGAGGGCAATCGGGCTGGGCAGCAATGAAAATTGATATGAGTAAAGCTTATGATCGCATGGAGTGGTTTTACTTAGAGGCAGTCTTGCATGCTATGGGCTTTCACGTGAAAGTAGTATCTCTGTTGTTAAGTTGTGCAACCTCTGCATCCTACACGATTCGGCATGGCAATAAGTACATCGGCCCCATTATCCCTAGTCGGGGTATCAGGCAGGGTGATCCTATTTCACCTTATCTTTTCATCATTGGAGCTGAAGGTGAAGAAGAATTATTTTCATTGATTAAATTGTGAGGAGAGTACATGTATATATACAAGAGTCTCAATCCTAATTAAGGTAGGAGAGACAATCTAGGAAACATATACAAATATGGTAACAATAATAATACAATAATATTAAATATATTATATATATTTAACATGCTCCCGGCTACGTCGGCAGTGCTGGGGGTCGGATACCCAGGCTTTCTCTGAAGTCAAGAAATAATTGTGAGGGCAGTCCCTTTGTGAAGATATCAGCAAACTGAGAAGATGACGGAACATGCATGACTTTGATCTGACCGAGCGCCACCTTATCACGCACAAAGTGTATGTCAACCTCGACGTGCTTGGTGCGCTGATGCTGCACCGGGTTTGACGAAAGGTAGACCGCACTGACATTATCACAAAAGACAAGTGTGGCGCGACGGAGTGGCTGCTGGAGCTCAAGGAGAAGGTTTCGGATCCAGCTGGTTTCAGCAACAGCATTCGCTACAGCCCGGTATTCCGCCTCGGCGCTGGAGCGAGAAGTAGTGGCCTGGCGCTTAGACGACCATGAGACAAGGTTGTCGCCGAGGAAAACGCAGTAGCCCGAAGTAGAACGTCTGGTATCAGGACAGCCAGCCCAATCAGCGTCTGAATAAGCCTGTAGGTAGTCGGTGGCGGATCTTGTCAAGTAAATGCCATGAGTGGCAGTGCCACTGAGATACCGGAGAACACGCTTCATGGCTGTAAAGTGGGCGTCGTGCGGGGCATGGAGGTGTAGGCAGAGCTGCTGGACTGCATATGTGATGTCAGGACGAGTGAATGTGAGGTACTGCAGCGCGCCAACAATGGATCGGTAAAGGGAGGGGTCGGAGAGCGCCGTGCCAGCTGACGCAGACAGCTT